CAGTGCAGGAGAAGGTTACCGCTATAAGGAAGTTCCCCAGACCAGTGTCTGAGAAACAACTAAAAATTCCTGGGCATGTTCAATTTCTACAGAAGGTTCGTCCCCAGGTGTGCCCAGCTCCTCAAGCCCCTTCACGCCCTGATCACACCTAACAGGGCCAACAGAAACACCCAAATCAGGTGGACGTCCCCAACTAACGAAGCCTTCGAAGCTTGCAAAGAAGCCCTGGCTTCTGCTACCCTGCTCAACCACCCCCTGCCCGAGGCCCCTCTCAGCATAGCAGTCGATGCCTCTGACACCGCCATCGGTGCTGCCCTCCAGCAACATCAGAGTAAGCAATGGCAACCTCTTGCCTTCTTTCCGCAGACCCTGTCGCCGCGCCAGTCACAGTACAGTGCCTTTGGTATGTGGAGGCAAAGGAATTCCACATTCTAACAGACCACAAACCCCTCACCTTCGTCTTACACTTGAGGACCCGCCGCCAATCCCCTTGCGAGGAGCGCCACTTGGACTTCATTTCACAGTTCACGGCGGCCTCATTGTCGGGGCTCAGACAATGGGGCCGCCGATGCTCTGTCAAGGGTGACCATATCTGCAACGACCCTCGCCGATGACGCAGTGGACTACCATCTGGTAAGCAGAGAGCAACGCCAGGACACGTCTGTGGCTCCACTCATAGAGGGCCAGACTTCCCTCTACCTTGGGAGAGTCAAAATCCCGAACTCCTGCGACGACTCCCTCAGCTACCCTCGCCCATACATCCCGCCTTCCCTCCGCCTTCGATTCTTCGACGCCTATCATCAGCATCGCGGAATCCTTGCCACCCAACACCTCATCTGCAGCAAAGTCGTCTGGTCCGCCATCAACAAGGACGTTCGGCAGTGGTGTCGTTCCTGTATCGAATGCCAAAGAAACAAGATCCAAAGGCAAACCAAATCTCCCCTCCAGACTTTTCCTATTACAGACGAAAGATTCGAGCACATCCACATAGACATAGTGGGACCCCTGCCCATGGACGACGGCTACAGCTACATATTAACGATGATCGACCCCTTCACCAGATGGTCCGAGGCTATACCCATCCATGACATTACCACAACAACAGTCACCAAGACCTTCCTCAATACCTGGATCTCGACCACGGCGCCCAGTTTGAGTCAGCGCTAGCTGATGGTATTACTCGGTTCCAAGAATCAGGACGACCGCCTACCACCCTGCGCCATGGCCGAACGACTCCACCGCCACATGAAGCAGGCCCTGCCATCCTCCTCTTCCAACAGGATGTGGGTCGACCAACTTCCACATATCCTCCTTAACATCCGGACATCGTTCAAAAAAAGACCCGTAGTGCACCACCGCAGGAATGGTCTACGGAACAACGCTCGCCCTCCCTGCAGATTTCCTTGTCACATCCAGCAACTTCGAACCTGGGACCTTCGGCTGTCCTCTGACGCCAGCTGATGGTACTACTTGGTTCCAAGAGAATCAGGATGACCGCCTACCACCCCTGCGCCAACAGCATGATCGAGCGACTCCACCGGCATATGAAGCAGGCCCTGCCATCCTCCTCCTCCAACAAGAGTTGGGTCGACCAACTCCCCCATGTCCTCCTTAACATCCGGACATCGTTCAAAGAGGACTTGCAGTGCACCGCCGCGGAAATGGTCTACGGAACAACGCTCGCCCTCCCTGCAGATTTCCTTGTCACATCCAGCAACTTCGAACCTGGGACCTTCGGATGTCCTCTGCGAACGGCAGACTCGGGTACGCAGCCGACCGACGAGACCCACCCGACAGCAGTACATATACATGCCTCCAGGACTCCAGGATTGCTCTCACGTCTTCGTGAGACCTCCTCTCTGTCCTCCGTACGAGGGTCCATTCCCGGTCATCCGAAGAGGCGACAAGACGATCAACATCCGCCGCCCAAAGGGAGAAGACACCGTGACCATCGACCTCGTCCTACCTGCACACCTTCAGCAGCCCTACAGGATCCAGAACTGCTCCTGACCTGTGATTGGCCGACTCATTCAACACACGACTGCTGACCTGACAATACTTGTGCTTGGTTCCTCAACAATAAAGAGATAAGATCCAGTTTGGTTTTCTATCTACAGTGCAATATGTTTACAAGCGTACAGAAAACACTCTTTTTGCTGACCTCCACCTGCGAAAATGTTCCTGATAGTCATGCTGCTGTCTAAAAGCTTGATAGGGAATCATTTTCATGATTAGGGGTCATTTTCACTTGAGAGAAGTATTGCGATCATTGTCAATTGGGACAAGTATCAATACCAGGTAAGTCTGAGAAATTACATACTATCAAATATACTAAAGTTCAACATAAATTCATTTATTTTATGAATGCGGGTTTTCCTTGCTGAGTACGATTCAGTCCTGCTGTACAAGGACTGAGTGATTAACAGTTCCAAAAATGCATGTATTTCCTGATGCCTTTTGTATGGCTATGACTATTATGATGCCGTGTTTCTGAAACTGT